ATTAAGGAAATCTTTTACCACATGAAACATGTAAGAACAGACTTAAAATTTTCACTGCTTGGGCGGGTGTGGTGATGCATGCCTGTAATCCCAGTACTTGGTAGGCTGAGGCAGGAGGATCACTGTGAGTTCAAGACCAGCCTGAGCTACATAGTGAGTTCCACGTCAGACTCACTACATAGTGAGACCCTGTCTCAAAAAATTAAAAAAAAAATTGCAAAAATTTGAAAAAAGATTAAAAATACCTTTCTGTATTTATATTAATCAGTTTTCCTGCTGCTAAGACACAATATCCAACAGGTACAACATAAGCAAGGAGAGATTCAATTTGGCTCATGTTTTCAGGGGCTTCAGTCCAGTTGATTGGCTCTAAAGCAGAAAAATGGCAGAAGGGCATGTCAGAGCAAAGCTGCTTAGTTAATGGCAGCCAGGAAACAGCAGGGGAACAGTGTCAGAGAGAAAGTAGGTAGCAAACAGATATAGTGTTGAAGGTTACATCTCTTATCCACCCAGACACACCCACATGTGCTTTACTAATTCTTTTGGTGGCTCTTAAACCAATTTCACAAAAATCATGTTTAACCATATTTCACGCCATGTTAACTTGACAGCCAAACATATCTACTTAAGTAACCCTTAAATCCGCAAAATTCACAAGTTAATAATGCCCCTAACATGTTACCACTATCCTGAGTACAACTAAAAGTGCAATAACTGTATTCTCAAAACTAAGCAGTTCCAGCTTATTTAAAAATCAGAGTCTATCCATTCTGAGACTCGAGGGAAATTCTTAGCTGTGATAGTCTATAAAAATGAAAATCAAGTTTCATAGCCACAATATACATCGGTGCATGGAAAACATTCTCATTCCAAAAAGAAGAATCAGGGGACAAGAAAATATTTGGTCTGAAGCAAGACTGAAACCCAGCAGAATAGACATTAAGTCTTGTAGCACGTTATATAAAATCCAGAGCACATAGTAGTGAGATGTCAGTTGCAGAGGGCTTGGGTGGTTGCAGCCTACAGTCTCTCTCTTGGAAAGGTTCCACTCATGGTATTAAATTTTCCTCTGAAAGCTTTCCATATTCCTAGCATCTCCAAATTCCTAGTGTCTCCAGGGCACCTTTGGTTTAATTCTCACAACTTCAGTCACTGCCTCCTCAGGGACTTCTTGTCTGGTATCCCAGGACTCCTTTGAAATCTGGGTGCATGCCTCCTTAACCCCACAACTCTTGCCTTTGCATGCTAGTAAAACATGCATCATATAGATGATGATAAGACCTGCTGTCAAGAACAGCAGTAGCCAGGCCCCCTTGGACCATGGTTGCAGTAGTATCCCTTGCATGCTTGGACAGTTGAGCACAGTGAAATGAATTCTAGGGAGCCATAACCCTAGAAGGCTTTTCTCAAGAAGGGTCCAAGGGACTCAATTCTCAAATGAAAGGATTACTATTTTTTTTTTCCTGTACTGGGATCAAACTCATGACCTTGCGCTTGAGAGGCAGGCACAGTGCCACTGAGCTAAAGCCCCAATCTGAAAGGATTACACTTTTATATCCTTTCACGTGAAATTTGTGGACATCTCATTGATTCCTAAAATACCATCAAGGAATCGCACTTCTCACTTCTGTACAAAATGTTTGCTTTCTTTTTAATGGTGATAATTTCTTTAGCAATCACACCTCATTTGGACCCAATATCATTTGGTGGTTCCCTTGTGGGCAAATTTAACTTTTTCTAATTGTTCTAATTTGACTTTGTCCATGATTCTCATTATAAATCTGGCTAAAAGAAGCCAGCAATACTTATGTCACAGTCTCATTATCAGGTTACTTTGAAATTTTCTCCACCAGAAGAATTAATTAGTCCATGTCCCCTAATCTTAGTCTTTTGCAAAGTTTTAGGCCATGAGCAAAATGTAGACAAATTTTTTATCAGCAGAACACACATGGGATCCAGTCAAATTGCCAATGGAGTCCTTGTTACCAACTGAAACCTTCTGAGTATTTCCTTGACTATCTACATTCCTCTCAGCCTTCTGGTCCTCTAAGAACCATCCATCAATCACTAATTACAGCATTCCAGAGTTTCTTTTGTTTGCATCTACAAACTCTTCCAAAATCTTTCCATAAACCAGCCCCAGTGGCTTCTGAACCACAAAGGTAAGTCACAGAAACTTCCCCACTCCTTGAACCAATATTCTGTGTTAGTCAGTTTTCCTGTTGCTGAAACATAATGATCAACACTCTCAATTCAGAGATCTAATTTTACTCACATTTTCAGGGGATGCAATCAATGGCAGGCTAGCTCTAAGACAGAAACATCATGGTGGGAAGGTGTGGGAGGGCAAAGCTGCTTAGTTCATGGCAGCCAGGAAGCAAAGCAGGGGAACAGCTTCAGAGGGGAAGGGGTAAAGGACCAGATATGGACTCAGAGTTTAGGCCTTCATAATCTACCCAAACACACCCAGAAGAGTGCTTAACTAATCCCTCAATGACTCGTAAGCCAATCAAGTTGACATAATGAACCTTAATTACAATATTGTAGTATAAACTTGCCTAACACAAGTTTTAGTATGGAGAGATTCAGCCTGTTTTCTGTACAAAGATCTTCAAAAATTCATTTCAATAATCATCACATCAATGCATTATTTTTATTATCTTCATATTGGCTAGGTCAGTGATGTGCAATAAAAATATAATGCTAGCCATATGTGTAGTTTAAAATTCTTTATTATCTACATTGAAAAATGAAAACCAGATGAGAAAAGTTTAATATCTTTTATTAGCTCAATATTCCAAAATTATTCAACATTCCATCAATACTGACACATTACAGTTTTATAGTATCTTCTAAATTCAGCTTTACATTTCATTAGATCCTAAAACTTCATTAAAATGTTTAGATTTCAAAATTTTACAGTTGCAAAAATAGCTGCATATACTAGTTATTCCAACCTATTTAGTTTATCTTCATTAAAATTTAGTAAAATTAAATATTCAAGGATTTGTCATACTAGTCACATCTTAAGTATGCAGTAGTCACATGTGACTAATGGCTACAGCATTGCCACACGTGGCTAATGGCTACAGTATTGGAAAGTACAGGTCTCAGAGGAGCAGCTTTTGTTGCTCTGCATTTGCTAATTTAAGCTGTAAAGTACAATAGAAATTATTTTTTTGTATAGGTTGTGGGAGACAGAAAACTCTGATGAGAATGAAGAATGAAATAGGTCCCTTTAGCGATATTAAGTCTACCACATAAAATAGAAAGCCATTATACCACTACCGATAGAACATTCCCAACACCTTTATAGTCTTATTTTGTAGACTTTTTATTTTAAAAATATTTAAATCTGCAGAGGACCTGCCTTGCATACCATGCTGTTTGCACAAAAAGGGTGAAAGCTAGGCCTTGCTCTCAATAAGATTGCAATTTATAATCTTCTAGTCACTAGGAACAGCATTTAAAAGTTTTAATGATGTTTTTCTTGGAATGTTGACCTCGAGTAAATCAGCTGATAAAATCCCTGTTTTTCCTCTTAACATGTTTTCAAAAACTGGTTTAATCTAAATCCTCTGGTACCTCATGTTCTATAAAAATTTCATGTAACCTGGGTGTGGCGGCCCAAGCCTGTAATTTCAGCACTCGGGAGGCTGAGGCAGGAGGATTGCTGTGAGTTCGAGACCAGCCTGGACTACATAGTGAGTTCAAGGTCAGTCTCAACTACATAGTGAGACCCTGTCTCAAAAAAATAAAAAGATAAATAAATCTAAATCAGATACAGGGAAAAATAGGAACTGTCTTATAAAAATGTATTGCTTTTATAAATCATCGGTGCAAATAAAAAAGATGGCAATTATATTTTATACTATTTTTTCTTTATCCCCCTAATCAGGGAAAAGGACAAAAATAAAGCCTTTATGTGCAACTTCACTTTTTCAGGATTCAAGAGAGACATTTTTTTAAAGAGGGTCTCCTTTATTTGTCAAGGGATCTTAAACTGGTGATTCAGCTCAGTGGTTTTGCCACGTGCTTCGCAAGCTCAAGGACCCGAGTTCTAGCCCAGGACCCAAACAAACCACAAACAAGCAAAATGAATTAACGATAACTGCCAGTAAGAGTCTCCATTTTGCAAACAGGTTCAAAGAAGACTCCACACACATCTTGGAAAGTCGCACAGCTCAGCAATTCACAGCTTTCCACTCTCTATCCACTGCTAACGCACAATAGTCCAGGAGTTTTAACCACCACCAACACGCGCAGGTGAGCTTATTGCGTTAAGAGGAGTAAACTCTAATAAGAGAATGCAACTTCGAAGTACTCTGTCGTAGTTTACCTCCCAAGAGCAGTAAGTTTAACAAGTATTCTGGTATTTAGCTCCCCAGAAAGGAGACTAAGCACACTGCTCCGACCTCACAGGAAACACTCCCTAAACCGGGTTTCCAAGCTCCCGGAGGTAATCGTAGAGGCTAAGGGTTCAAACCGATGAAACTGCGCAAGCGCTGCAATTGTGCGCATGCGTCGTTCCAAGCGCATGCTCAGAGACAGAGGCTGGCTTCGTCCAGGGAGGGTGACAGAGGCTGGCCTGCCCCGCCCCCGGCCTCTGCGCGGAGCTTTCCTTCCGTGCCGCTTGCACCGGCTTCCCTTTCCGGGCGGGCTGCGGTTGCCGTTGCTTCTTCCTCTCCAGTTGACCTTTCTGCTGATGCAGCTCTCCATGGCGAGCGTCGCAGGTCTGTGGAGCCGGGCCGTCGGGCTGTGCACCACAGGTAACGAGTGCGCAGAGGCGCCGCCGGCGCGCTCGAGCCGGACGGGAGCGCGGTGGGCTCGAGAGCGGCCTTGCGCGGCTTCCTCGGGTGGCGGAGGTTACGCTGCGTCCCACTCACCTCAGACCCTTGACTGGTTTGGTAGGAGTTTTCTTGGGTTCTGAGTCCTGTCACGTTTGAAGGATTTTTACCACCGGGGCAGAGAGAGGGATGTTCAAGGACATACCCTGGTCTGGAGCTGACCCCAGAATGAATGTGCTAACCTTTCTCAGCCCCTCCTGTCCCTCTGCTCTTTGTGGTCTCCTCAGTCAGCCACCATCGAGACCTCACTGTGTGCCAGGTGCCGTGCTGTAATGCGTAGCAGGAGTATAGCTCAACTTTGTTTTGGGGTTTTGTTTGTTGTCTATTTGAAAGAGAAAAAAGGGATACTATAGTGAATGACCTTCCGAGTTTTAACTGAAGAGATAATTGCTGCTGCAGGAAAAAAAAAATACTAGAGAAAGGATGTATCTGATTTATCTCTAGTGAAAAGGAAGCTTGTGTGAAGATATGTAGAAAAAAGAGCTGTTTATTAGGTAAGCAGTTCGATTGTTCGCAGAGGAAATATTTATTGAATGAACTGCTTATGCTTTTGCATCACTTATACCCTCGAATAGATTAATAATGAGTTTTTAGTAAATTGTAGAGAAAAAAGAAAAGAATTTCATAGGTAACTGAGCATACAATGAATCAAGTAATAAATGAGGACTTATTTTCTGTAATGTCTTTTCTCTTTATTCCAGTTCTTTTACTTGATATGGCTTTGTGTAAAGGATTTGTAGAAGATTTAGATGAATCGTGAGTATTCATATATTTACAATATTTTAACTTTGTCCAGTTCAGATATTATCCACATATTTGCATGTGAATCTAATCTTTTAATGATACAGACTATAATGACTAGTATTTGTATAATGCTAATTTTGTTTTAGGAGTTGTTCTAGGTCAGTGATGGGGAACTTTTTAGAGACCAGGTGCCAAACTGCAACCCAAAACCCACTATTTATCACCAAGTGCCAGCACTGCAGCTAAACCTGAGTACTGAAGTTCTAGTTTAGAAAAAATTTATCCATTATCATCTTTTGTGTTGCAAGAAAACCACAGTAATACATGTGCCATTTGTTCATCACAAACTGTTCTTGTGATAGATACAAGATCTTGTGATAGCTCTTCCAGTGATAGATACAAAATAGGAGTGTGCCCCAAAGAGTTTTACTAGTAGCTACAAGATGAAAAAGCTGGCACACTTTTCCATACTTTATCTTTCTTTTTTTTTTTGCTTTAATCATACAGAATGATACTGGAATTAATTCAGTATTTATCTTCGTTGTGTCATAGCATTAATTACAAGGCCTGTGTAGAGCAGATGAAGAGTCTAGCTCGAGACCAAAATCTTATTTGTCATATTCTAGGCTGTAACGGTCCTTTTCTGGCTGGGTACATGGGAGAAAGTGCCCTTTCCATGCCATTTTTGGTGCACAAGAAAAAAGTACATTGCAGTCTCTGGAGTGACTTGTAGTCAAGGACTTAAGCCTCCCAGGCAGGCCATGTTCATATGCATATCTGTACTCCTAGCTCAGTTGCTTCTATTTAAACTATTTAAACAAAGCCTTCTGATTGGGAGACTTACCTGAGGCATCTCCCACACACCTTTGTAGACACCTTGAAGGTCTTGCCTGTGAAAGTGACATACTCCTCAGCAGGCAGATAAATTTTCCATCTGTGTTACATTCACCTGACCTAACTGGTGCTTTTTCATGGGGGAAAATGGACCCCTGAAGAGTTGACCCTCTCTTTTCTCTTGGTTTGCAGTGTCACAGTAAGTGAATAAGGGCTTGATTGTTACTTCCAGTTTAGCTTGTCCTAATGGACCACATGACATCTGATTGTATGACCCAATCTATTGAGTAGGGTGATCAGGTGAATATAGTGCTATTCTTGAAGTGGCCCAGTCATGGCTGTGGAACTTGGAGAGTGCTTGCAGATTAACGGAAACTTTCTGATTCTGAGTCAAGCATCTCTTAACAAAGGGGTAACTTTTGAATTTAGTGGTACCCTATGAGGTGTGTAACTTCATGTCTGCTGTTTCAGAGTGCCCTAACTTATGAAAAGAAGGAAGCAGCTTTGTTCCTAATAATTACTTTAAAAGTGAATGCTCACCAGAAAGGCCCCTAAGCTGGGGAACATTAACAATAACTTACCATACTTGTTCCTAAATTTGGGAGTTAAATTGTTCTTAGGATACCTTAATGGATTGGATAAAATTTACTAGTCACTGAATAAAAATTTTACATAAAAATTTATTGAAAGAATTTCTTCAATAGTCCTATTTTTTAATTAGTTTATTATCTATACCTATACTACACAATTTCAAAGTAGACAGAAACATGAAATCAAAGATTTGATTTTCTTTTTTAGGTTTAAAGAGAATCGAAAAGATGACATTTGGCTTGTAGATGTGAGTATGTAAGTTTTATACATTAAATACCCATTTTTTCTACCATTATCTGTATTTTCCATCCTCATCTATACAAAGTGAACAATGTTTTGTCAGATATTACTGTTTGATTTTTTATATTAAAGTGAATCATCTTTAAGGTGTCTGGCAAGAAATTTTTGATTCAATTTGGTGGTGGGGACATTAAAAAGGGAAACTGTAACCTTTATAAGTGATGAATTTATGGATTATGTTTTAGGGATATTTTAGCATGGGTCTATGTAGAATTCTTTCTTGTTTTTAAATATTCCCAAGAGGTTGAGTATATTAGTATCATTAGTTGTCACTATCATGCTTTCATCATAATAGTAAACAAAAAATTTTCATCATCCTTTCCTCACTTCCGTGTTTAGAATGTATTTAAATTTCATGATATTTGGGGTTTGCTTGACTGTAACTCATACAAGTAGGGTCGCAGCAAAAGAAATGGTACAAGTATAGTAGAATTAATGATTAGTAAATTTAGGCAGTGGGAAATAACTCATTATTTAATCTTTCTTCCTTTTGTATATGTTTGTACATTTCCATAACAAAATTTAAAATAAGTTTTATTTCATGAAACTATATGGTAAGCAGTTTGTCACAGCACATTACTAGGGAACCGGATTATCACCCACAGCATTTAGGTATTCTAAAATAGGAAGGAAAGTGGTTTTATCTTAATCAGCCTGACTTGCCCCTGTGCCAAAGTAGTCATCCTGATATTACCTTATCTTGTCAATAGATGCAGTAAAAGTCAGCAGAGGCATTTATTGTGTTGGAATTTTTGTGATAGAAATACATTGGTATTTATCATTAACATCTAGTGCACTGCATATAGATCGTATGGTGTGTGTATTTGCTAACTACCTTTTATATAGAATATGAATACATTCACTTGGAAGCACAAGCATTTTGATTGTAAATTGTATATCTTTTAAGTGTGTGTTAATCATTTAAAATAGTCTTGAATGTTGAGGCATATGCCAAATGTTAACCTGTACAGATATATATTTGTCTTATCTTGGGTTATACAACCATTTGGAAACTATTTAAAGTCTTTGTCTAAAACAGACCCCATTAGAAGTTTATTTAGTCAAAGAGAGTTTTTTATTCTTTTTTTTCCTTTGGTACTGGGGATCGAACTTGGGACCTTGGGCTTGTGAGGTAGTCGCTAGAACCACTAAGCTAAATCCCCAGCCCCGAGAGTTTTTAAATATTAAGATTAATGTTCATGATAGCATTAAGACTCTAGTGGGTTTTGTTTTGTTTTGTTTTGTTTTCCTTTTGGATAGTTTTATGCACCATGGTGTGGCCATTGTAAAAAACTGGAACCAGTCTGGAATGAAGTTGGTCTTGAAATGAAAATCATTGGCTCTCCTGTGAAAGTTGGAAAGATGAATGCTACCTCCTATTCCAGTAAGCCTTCACTTTATTATTTTACTATTCTCAAAATGAAAATATTTGAATATATGCATCAGTATTCATAGAAGGAGGAAGAACTTTTTTTGCCCATGTAAAATTACCTTAATTTAATACTGTATACTTTATAAATTAAATGAATTCGCCATTGAGTAGTAAGTATATAGTATGTGTTAATCTTAGGCACTTTTAATGACATGTAAGCCATTATTTGTTCCTACTTAATCAGTTTACCTGAGGTACTTGTAGAAAGTTGAATGTTACACTGTTGATAATTGGTATTAGTATGTGAGATAAACTAATGAAAATTTGTTGTCTGTGTAGCCTAAAATTATATGATAAGTAGAAACTTGAAAACTAGCTAGGATGACTATAAATATCAGGAAGGTTGAAAAAAATATTAAAGCAAAATTCATAGAGCTGAAAATGAGCTTAAAGAATGTGTACATCTGTCCCATAAACCTGGATGACTATAAATATCAGGAAGGTTGAAAAAAATATTAAAGCAAAATTCATAGAGCTGAAAATGAGCTTAAAGAATGTGTACATCTGTAACCCATAAACCAAATTTGTCCCACTGCCTATTTTTGTCACTGAACTTATTGGAATACAGAAGCATTCATTTACTGTTTTCCTATTGCATTGTCAAAATTGAGTAGTTTTGATTGAAATTTCCTGTCCCTCGAAGCCTAATGTATTACTGAAAAAGTTTATGAACTATCTTATCTTTCTTATTTTGAAAAAGAATTAAGTGTAGAGAAGAATAAAGTATCATAGAAATTTGGAAATAGCATGGCTTCAGACTGGCTCTGGCTTTGCCTGTGCTACTTTTACTGGGTAACACTAGAAAGGTTTCTGAAATACCCTAAGCTTTGGTTCTCATATTGTTTAAATGTCTAATTGTAATACTTCTTTTATTGGTAAATTTAAAATTTGAATGCTATAGCGCATGTATCCAATCAGGTTCCCTTTTCTTTTAATTAGTGAAGTATATAATTTATATTTCTTCTTGGGAAGTCAGCTTTATATTCTGGGTTGCACTTTGAAGCAAGATACTTATTCTTTAATTTCAACTCTCATGTCCTACTCTTTTGGATTTAGGAAGGTACTTCTGTTAACTTTAGTTTCCGTGTCTGTAAGTGAAAGTGATAATCTTCAAGGTTGTGAGAATTATATTAATATTTTAGATTCAGATGTCCTCACACAATGTCTAGCACATGTATGGTGCTAAAGGCAGTTGCCAGATTAAGAGCCTCCTACGTAAAGCAAAGTATTTTGCTTTTTTGTTTTTAGTATTTTTTATTTTATCTGAAGTATTACATAGTTTTGAGAAGGCACATAATTTAGTAAGATATCTTTTAGGCCCTAACTTCTAGGATAAAGAGACAATCAGGTATAGACAGGATACTCTTGTATGTGTGCTAGTGTAGGGAACTAGAGCCCAGGCTTGCATGAAAGCAATAGAGGAAAGTGGAAAAGTACTGTAATTATTGCTATCATTTTTCTAAACTGAAATCATGGATGAGATAGATTGGCACTATAGTATAAAGAAGGACAATGGAACATAATACCATAAAGCAGTGATGGCAAACTTTTTATTGCTTTTGGTGGTACAAACAACCCACTGTAGCACACCTGCCATAGGTTCATCACTGTTGCCATAAAGTTTTTAGACTAATTAATGACCTGTCCTACTGCTGTTACATAGAAATTTAGTGCGCGTTTTCAAGTTATCAATTTATTGAATTGAGTTTGTTTATGTTTGGGAATTAGGGAAGTAGAATGCAGGTGGGTTATTAGAGCTGGAATTGCTTAGTGATAAATTAATTTTGAAAAGTTGAAATGAGATAAAGTTGAGTGGTAGAACAGTGTTGTAGAGAAAGAATAACATACTTAAGTTGACATTTCTAGATCTAAGCCTTTAATGATGCTGAAGAAGTTACTGCTTTCAGTGGTTGCTAGTGAAAATAAGCTCTGTGTCTAAACATATATTGATTAGATAGGCAGATATGCATACATGCATTTACTTATGGATACATCCATTTATTTATTCACTCAATCAATATTCATTTACTTAGTACTGTTTGTAACCCTCCATACTGGTCTCTAGGGATTAAAGAAAGACCCAAACAAATCCTGCTTGTGAGTAAATGCTTACTGCCTAACAGGAAGAGAAAAATGGACCAATGCGTACAACAATGTCCTAAAAATGGCAAATCTTCTGTAATCGTTTGACTCATTTAACAGAGTAGTTATTTATAAAGGAAAGAGGGAAGAAAAGTAGTCATTGAGAAAAATAGTGTATATAAATTAGTAAAAATCTTATAAACTGTTCATGTGATGTTTCTGTGATAATTTACTATGCACATTAAGTCAAAATTTATTATTTAGTATTTAGTATTGAGTTTCCCATGCGTTAATATTAAAGTGTCACTGTGATCGGGAGAAAAATAGTATAAGCACTGATGATTTAGCTGAGTGGTAGAGTCCTTGCATAGCATGTGTAAGACCCTGGGTTCCATCCTCAACACTGCAAAAAAATGAATAAAATAATAATAATAATTTTTCCGAGTAGCTTAGACCAGTGTTTTTACTTTTAATTTTCAGTAACTTTTAATTTTTAGTTTTACTTCACCATGGAACTTTATTTCATTTATCACAAACCTTTCAGTTTTAACTTTTGGTCCCCCCCCCCGTATGGGGAATCGAACTCAGGACCTTGTGCTTTCAAGGCAGGTGGCAGCACTACTGAGTTAAATCCCCAGCCCTTAGAGTTTTAACTTTTGCGTCTGATGGCTTGATTGTTACATATTTTATTTCCCGTTCACTTAGCCCTGTACTTTTTACATTGAATCAATAGAAAAAAATTTTATGGCAGCTGCTATGTAGGAAACATACATATAATATATACCGGTGCACACTGACCGTATAACTTTGGGAAAGGGAAGCTGACATACTGTACACCAAGGACCATCATCTTCCAGGTATTATAATGTTTTTTTTCTTTTTGCACTTCACATGATGTCTTCATTGGATATGGACTACTATGTCTCCATATCTTCACCCTTGCCAACTTGTACTCAGCCTGCATAGTGTTAGATTCTTGGAATCCTTGTGGCTGTTTGAGTGATCCAAATATAGTTTATTGAAGCACTTGTTCCTTTGTAGAACAGTTGTAGAGTTAGCATCTATTCCTGTAGTAGATATTTATTTAAGAAGTACTTACCTTTTCCTTTTCCCTATGAAAAGAAAAAAGTATGAGAAAATGAAAAAATGGAAACAAAGCCTTTATAAATAGGGAAGGGTGGAGGGGGTGAAGGGAGGGCAGGGGCATGGAGAAAAAATGAAAACAAGATCAGTCATGTAAAGAAAGGTACACGATCTGAATGATAAATGTAACTGTATTGTATACTTAAAAAGTACCAATAAACTCAATGAGAGGAAAATCAAATCAAATCAAATCTACTGAAAAAAAAAGGCGATACTTACCTTAGCTACACCAGGCATTAACATATGAACAAAATACATATGAGAAAAATAGGAATTCACACTCTCATGGAACTTATGTTGTTATGGGAGAGACAAACAATAGAAAATAAACGTGTAAATATCTTACTATTTAATTTTATTGATGCGGTAGACTGCACTGTGGAAGAAAATAATACTGTCTTCCTACTTTTACTTTTAAAAAGTTGATAAGTATCAAAAATCACTGTCTAGAGGTTACAGATAGACTTGGCTTGCAATTCTCAACATTTTCCTTAAACAATTCAGAGCATTCATATGGCCATCATATTAGAATTTATAGTTATATAGGTAAAGAAATTGAATTTTTCCCCAAGCCATTTAAATATTCTATATTTTAGCCTCCTTCCCAGGAGGTTGCTTCTTCTTCTGTAGTTTATATACTGACCACCTCTGTTAGGATTATTTGAATGTTGCCTGTTCAGAATCTAAAAGCTTACATTGGCACTGCTAAATGAAAATGTTTTGACTGGATCATGAGACTGTTTTTAACATTCATGACAGATGACTTTGCTACACACTTGAGTGGAGAACCACAAGGAAGGTAGAATATTCTGATGGTCAGATAGTTTTATAAGGTTTAATTTGGAGTGAAAAAGGATTATTCAAAATGATCAAGTGTAGAGAAAGTCTCTTAAGATTCTTTGATGTAGCCTGTCAATCATGTAATTCTAGTGATTGAAAGTAAATAGCATCAGATTCAATTCAGCAAGTCTCTCTGTACAGAAATCTTGAACTAGATAAATGTAAGCTATTCAGATTTATTCTCTTTGTGTTTGGAATTGGACCAAAATTTTTATTGCAGTTTTAACTAATAACACTAAAAATGTGTGTAAAGACCATGATAAATTCAAATATATATTTTAGCCTCTCTTTCCCTTCACGCATGAATACTTAAAATGTTTCTTATTCGGGAGTTAAATTATGATATAATGATCCATAATGATATGCTGATTTCTATTGTGCAACCACTGAAAATTTATTTACCCCTCAACCTAAATGTAATATTGTTTTGACGTACAGATATTTTATGTCTCAGATGCATAAGCTTGCAGTGGCATTTGCCCAATAATGTCATTTTGCTTTTTTTGTTATAGATTATATTGCAAGCTATTTCTGATCAGTGACTCTACTTCAGGATTGCTCAACCTTCTCTTATTGACCTTTTGAACCAGATCTGAAGTCTTTTTGAGGGAAGGTGGGAGGTAGTTTTCTGTGCATTGAAAGCTTTTTGCAGCATCTCAAGCTCCTACTTTCAAGATACCGTCTCTTTACCAACCATACACACATTGTGTCATCCAAAAATTTCTCCATTTCACTGAACCATTATTTTATACTTTTTTCATGTTGGCCAGAGAGTATAACAAATACCAGTACTTTAAAGCTTTAAGGGCTTCAGCGATTGAATCTTTTTCCCTTCCGGCTTATAGATCAAGCAACAGAAAGTAAATCAATGAAAGATGTTTTATTTCACGCAAAGAAATTAGAGACAGAATTAGGCCTAGAATCCAAGACCACCATAATTCCTTTCTTCATCTATTTCCACCATCAAGTTGTTTGAAGGAGAAAACAAATGAAGGAAAGAGCTTCATGTTTAACCTCACTTCACGAGCATTTAATATTATATAACTTGAAATTACTCATATTATAAACAGTTTTTCCTCTTATGAAGGAATTGATCTCAGACTTTTATGTAGACCAGCATGTAATATGAAAAATAAATTATAAAAATCTTAAAGTCAGACTGAGTCAGCCTTGCTTAGCCTTGCTACCAAATACCCGTTTCTTCTCAAACAACTTACCAAGTCTTCCTAAACTTTATTTTTAATGTGGATTTTATTTTACGTGAATTTGCACTGTTTCTTCCTCACAAAAAATTGTTTGCAATACAGTTGAGGAATATTAAAGCATTCTTACACATATAATAGTACAGTATTTGCCATATCTCTACACTGATGTATCAGAACATAATTACCTAACAGATCTGAATCAGGAGTAGAAAGAACGACTGTTTATCATTTAAGAGTCTTGTTTATGCTGGACTCTGTGTTAGATTCTTTTCTATATTTTTTCTCACTTAAAAATCTCACCCATAGCCTTACAGTGTGAGAAGTGTCCTCAGAAGGGGAAGCAGAATCAGAAACATGAAAAAAACTCATCTAAATATGCATAGATAGTAAAGGGAGACGTTAGAACCCTAATGTTGGTCTTTACACTCATATCTGTAACCAATCCTGTCTTGTACTTTTTATTATGCCATCACTTTAGGGCAAGATAAAGATGGTGAAGTTTTTAGTCCTGGTTGTCAATTAAAATTTTGAATGTTACTGTACTGTATCCCTAAAATGTACCAATAAACTGAATTAAAGCTGAAAAAAAATTTTTTTTTACAAGAAATGTTGGTTAATGGTCAAGAGGCCAGGGAGACTTACTGGGTGATACTATCACTGTCTTCTAGGTATGAAAACTGAGGTTAAAGAATAACAAAGGGGCGGACAGGATTTTCACTTTGAAGCCTGTTATGAGTTCCACATCATCACACTATGAATGCCACCACCGGAATTTCCATTGATTTTTTTTCTTCATTTTATTTCATTTGTACATGAATTATAAAATAATTTATATGGAGGTATTATTAGTAGAATATAAGTCCCTCCCCTATCAGTTATATTATTCTTTATGTATAGGCAGTTATTAATGGGTTTTCACTGAACATAATAAGGACTTGTATTTACTTGCCTGTGTAATCTTGGAAGGGGGCCATTAAGAATGTGTTTTTCTCACATAATCCCCCCAAAATAATTTCTGTATTTTTGCTTTGAAAAATACAATCTAGATAACCATGGTCATAGATTGAATAAAATTACAAAATTAAGTTTCAAGTTAGAGATGAGCACATGTAAATTGTGTAATTGCTGTAGATTCACATGCAGGTTTATAGGCAGCACCTGAATCTTGATAACTTGAACTTTTGTTATCCCTCCCAGTGCCTCTAATAAAAATAAGTGTTGGTCACTGTGCAGAACCTTTTAGTCACCTCTTTCCATATATCTAAGGTAGAAGAGAAAGGAAGGAGATTCTGGAGATTATTTTTCACAGATTTACATTGTGGTTCTTGTTAATTGGTAAGCAGTGACAGCTAAAATATAACAAAGTTCCTGAGGTAATTGTCAGCCACAACCCAGGACTAGGAGTAATCTCTTTGTCTCAAATTGCTATATGTAAATATTCTGGAAGTGAAGGAGGTTGGAGAGAGAGAAATTATATGAGTAAACATAGCATACTTTGCACTAGTATACTTTTGTAAAAGTTTTATATTGTATCATGTCCATCAATTAACAATATTTTTTCTTTCCTTGTCCTGGTTGCCTTGAGTCTAAAATGTACTGTAGTATTAATTTGATAAATTATTTTATTTCCCTATTAACATTTGCTTTTATTCTGTTTCATCTTTCATCACTTCTTCGCTACCATTATGGCAAATATTTCTCATTTTAATGAATATGAAGATTTCAGAATATTATCTGAGAGAAATACAACTTTTGTAGGTTGTTACAAAAATGCAGAAATTTAAAGTGTACATCAAAGTGCTTTTTGATCATACACTGACTGTAGTAGTAATTTTTCAAATACAATATATTTTTAAAATTAAAACTGCAAGTCTCTGAATGCTCAGGTAATAGTAAAGAAAATGATAGGCCTTTTTGCAGGGATGGGTGAGATCTGGGGAAGAAATTACCTTGGAAATGAGGGCAAATGAAAAGTACTTTATTACTGGTATTTTTTTTAACACCAAACTCTTTTAAAATTAATACTCAAGGAATAAATTTTTAACTCGTCTTTCGATATTTATTTTTTATTTTGTCACAGTATTTTTTGCAGCATCTTGGTTGTATTATTAAATAATTATTTTATATGAAAATGTCATGTTTTTTTTTCTGTATGAGTTTATTTTCTTTTTTAACACTTAAAAACAACTTATCTACATTGGTTTGTATGAATGTCTTTTTTTTTAATAAAAGGCTCATTTGTTACCTAGTTTCTCATTTTTTAAAAAAATTTAGAATATTTATTCTTTTTCTCATCAAGGCATTGCTTCAGAGTTTGGAGTTCGAGGTTATCCAACAATTAAGCTGTAAGTTGAGAGCTGTATGTTTATATGTGTATTTTCGTAGTTCACTCTGCTTACATTTTACATTTATTTCTAGTAACTTTTTTGGAGGGTCGAAGATTTTAGTTCAACCATTTTTTTTAGGTGAGGTATGTGATCCAAGAAGAGAACTATGCCTTTGTGCTTTTCTTCTTAAAGAGTTTTGTTGTTAATGGCTAATTCAGCACTGTGTTTAGAGCTTACTGTGTCAAGCACTGTAAAGACAGTTATACAGTCCTAAATTATGATAGCTCTTTTATTCTTGTGGGAGCTTGTGTATGGTGTTCTGCTTTGTCATTGTAAAATTCTGTCTCCTAACAGATTTAACTTTTGTATAATTTGACTTATGTATTTCATTAGTGATAGGAAAAGTTAAAATTGATGGGTATTAATTGTAATCTGTAGCTGTTGAGCAAGTCTTACAGAGGTACAAGTTGGAAGAACTTGTGTGGTGATTCTAAAGGACATTTTAAACAATCGTGACCTTATTGAATTTTCTCATAATATTCATTACATTTATTTTGGTGATAGAGTTGAGGAATTGTTTTGAACATAGTTTTATAATAAAGGTCATTTTTTCAGTGTTTTTAATTTTCAAATTACAAAATTTGAGTAATTTAAATTTATTATTTCTTGGATTTTGTGTTAACCTCCCTCCTTCTACTTTAAAAAAATGTGTGTCAAGGCTCTTTTATGTTGAATTATATTTTACTTTTCTGTTTATAGTTATGCTTCCTGATTTTTCATTTTTATAATTTCATTTAATTAGATAACATAACTTATTGGAAGGCTTTTGGATGAACCACTGAGCTAAATCCCCAGCCCTGTTGAGGGTTTTAAAAGTTGTTTTTACCAATTGGTTATGGTAGATGTTGGAGCACCTGTCAAGTAACTGATATTGTTTTGAAGTTGTATAGATTATTCACTTTTCAGAAGTATAGGCAATGCATCTATTAAATACAATATAAAATATTTTTCTGTAATTTTAATAGAAAACAGCTTGTTTCTATGTATTGTGACTTGCTGATCCTGTGAAGCCAATTGCCTGTATTTTACATGAGTATACTACTTCTGAAACTTGTCTTCATTTACTAGTTTATGTTCTGTAAGTTTATGATACAGTAGAGACTCATTAACATTAAATATTAAGGCACAAAATAATTCCAGTTCTTACCTTATTTTTCTTTCTAAGATTAAAGGGGGACTTGGCATATAATTACAGAGGACCACGAACTAAAGATGATATTATTGAGTTTGCTCATAGAGTGTCTGGGTAAGTTTCTATTAGTAAAAACCTTTACTATATGGTATCAATATTTGAAAATTGGGTTTGTTTTGTTTTGTTTGTTTTTTTGTTTTGTTTTGGAGACATGATCTCACTATATAGTCCAGTCTGGCCTTGAACTCAGTATGTAGCGCAAGACTGGCTTTTGACTTATGATCCTCTTGCCTCTCAGCCTTGTGAGTGCTGAGATTACAGACATGTATCACTTCATCTCCTGAAAATTAAATATATTTTAATAGACCATATAGAATGCATGTGTTTTATGGACTTATCTTTTTGTACTTCTTTATGAGAAAAAATAGGGTTATGTAGTACAACACAAAGACATTTTAAATAGACCATGTTTTTTGTGTAGTATCTTTGTTAATCTCACATTTAAATTCACATGCATAGAAGAATTTTTTCCAGTGAGTTTTT